AAATCTTGAAAGCTAAAGGCTGAGCTTTTAATTGGGGATTTTCTTTTGCACCTTAACCTCATGCCATCCATCTGCTTTTGCTTTCCTACCACAAACTAGCATGTCGACTACTTCTACTTATCCTTCTTAATTAACTTGTGCTCCCTCTTTCAGCTTGTTTTGGCCCTGCTGATCCAGAAAAGCAGGGTTTTTGCGGAGCAGAGCAGAAGCAGTGTGGTAGCTGCTGCTGCATGTGCCAGGATGTTATTTGTTAACAGCTGATCAGCTGGGGGCTGTCTCTGTGGAAGTTCCTAATTCACTGAAATAAAAATCTTCCCCTGGACGTGGTCAGGAGCTGCTGCTGCTGTCGTCTCTGCTTGCCATGGGTGCATATTGAAGTGTGTATGTACCACAGGGCAGGAGCCTCTGGCATAAAGCAATGCAGAAAATTCCCTATATTGCCATCTTCCCGTGAGGCAAATAAATGCACTGACTACGCATCATCTTCAGAGTACCTTCATGTTAGGGGAACAGGAGACTGAAATGATAATGTGTAGCTTTGTGAAATTAATTTTATTTTGGGACAGGAGTCTACATCACAGATTGTTTCAACCTCAAATTAATGCTTCCCGTAATATATGGCAATTATGACAAGTTCTAGCCACACTAGGGAGGGGGTGTGTGTATACTGTCGTTCCTTGAGTTCTACCCTTTCTGTGGTTTAGTAGAGACACTGAGGATATGTCTTCACTGCATGATTGATCCATACAGTTGACACCCTATTTACACTTACTCTAATGAGATCATCCTTTACACACAGCCATACCCATGTTATGATGAACTCATTCTTTCTGCAACTGTTTATATGTGTGAAGGTACAGCTCTGAGCAAAGATGAGACAGGATTCACTTACAGGGAAACTTTTCCTCCTTCAGGAAGAAACTTTTGGAAAAGCATTGAAAGACTCTACTTGGATGATTTATTTATTTATTTTAAAATTATTATTTTTGCCCTCTCTTCTGATTTTTATAGCAATATAAGAACTTTCCCAACAGAATGCGATTACCGTCTGCATTGTAACTTAACTTCTATTCCATTGTGTAAGATGGACCCAAACCTGGGTGAGAGGTTTCTCCAAGTGATTGGTAGGGCCAGGTTAATGTTAGGCCTAATATAACTATGTCTCTAAATTTGCTTTCATGTGTCCTGTCAGGCATGCTTTACAGCAACAGATCACCTGGAGACTGAATCTTCTCAGAGCTTCCATCTGAGAGGTAGTATGGCTGTTAGAAAGATCGGCTATGAATTCTGTGTTGCCATGTTCAGATCAGACTTGCGAATCATGTCAGTGAGTTTCTGTGTTGTTCAGACGTGCTCAAACTCCAAGTCACCAGTGAAGGCAATAAGCCATTGTAATCATTGGAATAGCAGCCATTTGGCTTGAACATGTAAACACTGACATATAAACATTTCCATTGGATGGAGAAGTTTATCAGCAAGATGAGACTTCTGCATTTCTTAGAGATGACACTATTTTTTCTTCAGAAAATCTGGGACAGTGGAGTTTCGCCTGCATTGACTGTATAGTGAGAGGAAAAAGGAGGGTTGGAGGAATGTTTTGATTCTGCTATAAGCAAAGAATAACAAAAGCAGTTTAACTGTGGAATTTTGCCAGAAAATGTTTCAGTTATCAGATTAATCTTTGCTTGCTCGCTGCAGTATAGAAGGAGAAGTAAAGAGCTTGTCTTTCATTACAGTTGTAAGGCTGTTCTGCTAAATTTTTGTGAAGTCTGACTAGTTATTTTGAGGGTGGGGTGTGTCTGTGTTTTCTGTTGTTCCATCTTAAAGCTGGATTGAAATTCCATGGGGTGACTGTATAAGAATAATGATAGAAAGACCTTGTACCTGCAGCATCTCTTAGCTTAATGGCACACATATTAGAAAAAAAAGTTGATGACTGTCCATGCCCATTGCAAGCCAGTTTATCTCCTACTTGAGGTTCAGATGACTAAGCAGTAAATCACAGGATGCAATACTTTAACCATCTGCTAAGATTGAGCAGGAACTTCCTTGACAAATAGGACTGAAAGTTTAAAGTTGGCCTTTTATTGGCCAGAGTATCTGGAATAAAACTTTAGTTCTTAGTAGACAGAGAAAGATAAATATATGCTGTCCTGGAGGATGAGTTATTTGTGGGAGAACAAGGATCTCTGGACACCTGAGAAGGCAAATGGAAGTGCTGGAAACTCAGAAGAGGTAAACAAACTGAGGCAAGGAAGTTCTTGAAATAAGTTGTCCTGTTTTCTGAGTGTGTGTTTGCATGTCCACACACACACACGTTTTTTTTCTGAAGGATAGTGCTAAGTTTTTGCAAAGATGTCAAAAATCATTGAGTGTATGTGTGTATTTTTTTATATATGCATGTATTTTTTATATATATGTATGTGTATCTTTTATATATATGCATGAAGGTATCTTCATGCATACCTTAAGAGGTAAGACTTCAAGGTCTTCCGTATTGTGCCAGGTGAGATGTCTATCCAGCCTGGTGTCTTGTGTTGGCCAGTTGCTGGTAACGAGTGCCTTGGAAGGGATGTAGAGCTGGGAGTGTACAGAGAAATTCTTCTCCCTTCTGCCTCACCCTGCCAGCTGATTAGGGATAGCCTGGTATATTCTTCAGACCTGGAATATTCAGCAACCTGAAGTTTTCCAGAGAAAAACATGCTGAAGAAAATACAAAGATTTTTTGACTGGATATGGGGTTCCACTTCTGTAAAAGACTAGTAGATGCCCTGTACCAGGTGGTGGGACAGGCAGACCAAGAAAAGGCTCACTGTTGGAACTGTCTTGAGTCAAATGAGATTCAGGAGAACATGGATCTTAAGTGCTGGAAATGAAATGCAGCAGCATGATGATTGTCCAACTTTATCAGTGCTGTTGCAATCTCAGATTGGAAGAGAATATCCAGTGAACCAAGATTACTGGAAATTAGGGATTGGCCAGCAGAAATCTTCAAATGAAAGCGTGGAGAAGTTAGAGATGCATTTCATGTGTGAAAAGCGGTTTCAGGTGTACCTATGTCTCAAAAAACCCCCCAGAACATCCCAAACCCCAAATAAAAAAAAAACCCACTCAAAACCAAATGATGCCGAAAACTTGCACTGGAGTAAAGATTTAATATATGGGTAAATCTCACTCACTTATAATTTGTGATTTAAAAAAAAAACATCATCACAAGCGAACATTCCATACCTAAATTTTGATGTTATGTGCTTAATGCTGTCAGAAAAATTATTTTACCAGATTATATGATAAGGCACTTTGTTCATCAGATTGGAATATCGAACTCTTAACAGTGGTTAATTGTTTACTATCTTTGTGGAAGACTTTCCTTGACTTCTTGAGGCCTTTTTGCCTTGCCTTTTAGGAAATCTAGGATCCACAATTCTGTAAAAAGTACATTGTAAGTATATACTTGGTTTTGTAGTCTTGCATCATTATAATATTTTAATTACAGTTGTATCAGTTTCGCTGCTGCTTTAAAGAAAAAATAATTACTTGTTATGGGTTCTCAGATTAAATTAATTGTTTAAGTGGTTGTAAGTAATTCTAAACATTGACTTGATGACAAATACTGTAAGAGGTGGCAGAATGACTTTTTGATTCTGTGGTAGAGCCATGATTATTGTGTGCTGACACATTTCATTTCAAAGAAAAATTGAAACATTCTCTGAAAGGGATTGTAAAGGAAGCTTCTAAAGTAGTAGTGTCCTTACTTTTTTTTATTTGTATCAGTATTGTAAATCCCTTCTCTTGCAAATTGTTAATTGGAGGAGAGTTGACCAAGTAGATGTGCAATTCATTACCTGTAGCTGCTTCTAAACAGCTTCTTTATTTTATTTGTTGGGGATCAGGGGAACTCTTTCAAATTTTGCAATACACTGATTGTCCAAGCTTCTAGCTGTGGTCATTCTTTCTTCAGAAGAGACTAATCAGCCTAGTTGGTCTTATTCCTTCTGATGTTAAAGCAGTAGACAGCTCATTTTCTTTTTTCTTTTTTTTTTCTTTTTTTTTTTTTTCACTCCAGCTATATTAATGCTTGTGTCTGAGGTCCGTCCGGTCTGAAGTTTTTATTTGGGGAGGTGCCTGGGTTTCTTTTATTTTCTCTTATTGACAGAATATGATGGCATCTCAGCTGCAGTTCTGTGCTTCTGGTGTCTGGGAAGCCCTAAAGTCTGAAAAGCTCAGAGGAGGAAATGGAATTGAAACTTTGTGTTAAAAACTTCATATGATGATTTGTATTTTTTTTTAAGGTGGCTAAGGAAGTAGGAGTGAAAGTATGGCAACTACAAATCAACTTCCGACCCTTTTTATTGCTGTTTGAGACAATAGTCTTCCAGAGCCTCCATAGTAATTATTTTCTAGCCAAGTACTGCTGTGCGTGCCTGTTAAAACTGTATGGCCAAAGTGGTGTGTTACTTCAGTACATTTATGAGTTTTTAAGGTGTGCAGGATGGTTCCCTCTTTCCCCCTCCTCCAAAATGGGATTCCCATTGCAGTCATGACAAATCTCTGAAATGTACTTTTTTTTTTTTAACCTTTCCCTGTTTTTGTTTGGGTGGATAACATGGTGTAATAAACTAGTCATAACAGTCTCCAACTTCTACTATCCAATGTTTAAGAATTATTTCGGTACAAGGACGGGAAGATTGAGTGTATGATTTGGTGAATATTCTGGCTTAGTAAATCTCAAACAATGCATTCTTCAGAACAGACAAACCAACGGTCCTAAAGTAAAAGTTCTGCTCTGCAAGTAGCATGGGTATGTGTATACAAGTGTGGCAGTCTTTATGGTATTTCAATCCAACTTCTGTTGTGTATGCCACATGAATTAAAGACTATAGGAAAAAAGAATCCTAGATGAAGGACTTTGCTCCTTACTCTTAAAGGAGAAAATGGGCTGTGTTTTTTTTTTTTTTTTTTAAGATCTCTGAATATTTGTGTCCCGTTTTCCCTTTCAGTGACTGGGGAGAGAGCTGCTGGCATGGAAGTGAGCTGGGTTTGTCCGTGGGAACTGTGAGTAAGGTATGTATTGTGTTCTCTTTGCTGTCTTTGGTCTGCACCTTTTATTCTTATGTGCTGAACTGAAAATTGCTTGTGGTCACTAAACATGAGCGATAGTGGTGTGTTAGAGATGGAATATTTTGAATTTGTACTAGCATCAGGTGTGACAGCTGTCCAGCAAGGACTTTATAGTCTAAGAGTATAAATGGCACACTTGTCCCTTTTTCACTGCTGCCTAGCAATTAGTCAGACTTGCCACAAGTTTTTTCAGTGTTACTGATACTTGGCTTGCTTTGCTGATTTATTCAAGTATATAAAGGCAAACAATTTTATCTATACAGTAAAATTGTAATGTCTGCAAAACTGTAACTGTGCTTAGCATGATACAGTAGCACTCAGAAGAGAGGATGATACATTCAGACATTATCTGTGGTCCCAGGCTGAGTCTTGAGTAAAGAATAGAAGATGTTTTAATCTATTCTAGCACCAGAACAAAAGTGTCGGTTTAGATGTCCTTCATGTGCTGGCTCTTAATATTGTTGCTTCAAAGAAAGAAGTAGTGAAGGTTGAATTTGATATCCTTTGAATGGGTGAAGAACAGCGGCAGTACCAATTCCCCCACCCCTCCCTCATGTTCTTTACCCACATTCATTACATTTATGTGTTAGGGAGCACCTCTTGAGTACTTACTACTTCATTTCAATAAACTGGTTAGCTTAGACAAGACAGTAATATTGATATATGCTTTTCTATGAATCACTGAAGAAAATTCTTACCTATTTTTCAGTAGCGGGGAAATCCAAGGGTGGAAAGTCAGCTCTTGTAGGGGAAAAAGGGAACAGAAGATCTGGTAACTCAGTCTCAATTGCTGGACTTTCCTCTTAAATGAATGTCATGCTGGGTAGCTGCATTAGGAGATGCTAATAAATTCAAAGAAATTTGGATTCCGCACCCACTGTCCATTGACAGGGAGGAGAGGCAAAGTCAGTTCAGATTGGTTTAATTTCTGTAGACAGTTTCATACTGTCATGACTAAAGAATGTGACTGGGGTCAGAAAACTTCTTGCAGACTGTTTCAGGCTTTGGTTTCACACTGTACCTAACATGTGGTAACTGAAAGCTGTCACTTTTCAGTGGGCACTGCTCCTCTGTTTTTGGTTGGTTTTTTGTTTTTTTTTTGGATGAGATCTAATGAACCTGTGGTTGCAGGGCTCAGATTGCTAGCACAATGGAAAAACAAGCTTGTTTCAAGGTGTAGCTTTTCATCAGAACAGCAAGCTGAATTGACTTGCTCTGTGGCTGCAAAGCCACTAGATTTGAAGGAGAGAAGGTGAGAATTTCAAACTGAGGTGAGGCGATACAATATGGACCTATACTCTCAGTCACAGCCCATGATCAGACTGAATTAGATAAAATGTAAAACTACTTCCTCAGACACACAAAAGTAAGTTGCCAAAAAACCTTGCTGTAAACTCCTTAAGACTCTTAAGTTCTGCAGTTTTTGCCTGCTGCTTTCTGCTGACATGAATGCTTATGCCAGGAGCTGAACTGACTGAAATCTAACTATTTTACCTTTGCTTTATTTCCTTTTTTTCCTTTTAAAAATTTATTTTATTTTAGTCTAGATTGGTTCCCTGAGCTATCTTTCCTTCCTTTCTTTCCTTGCCCAAGTCACTACTTTGTTATGCCCTAGGTCATCCAGTTCTTGTTCCAAAGTTCAAATCTTCTGTGTTTGAAAGCATATTGTTTCTTTGAGGTCTTATTTCCACTCTCCTCTTGTCCAATGACTTTCTCGTCCCAATCTGCCCTAAATCCACATTCAACATGAGTTCCTTCATACTTTCTCAGCCCCTCAGTTTTCCTGCCATGAATTTCCAAGTCAAAGCTCACATCTGGCTGCAAATCGTCAGCATTCCCTTTTCTAGTTTGCTGCAGCTTCCCTGCTTCCATTGGTTGTTGGTGTCCGTTGCCACATGCCTTTGCTGCCAGCTGAATCCATTGCTTCATCTGCTTGGCCCTATGGGGCGGGGAGGAATGCTTTGCCTCCGACATGAAGGAAATTTTAAAAAATGCATCAGACAGCAATTGCAAGGAAGTCAGTCAGAAGGTGGTGGAAAACAGGCAATCCTGTTCTAAACACACTGTAGTTCATCATGCATTTATTTGGCACCAGTGCAGGCTTAAACAGCTTGCTCCCTTTCACAGCTCCCTCTGTTTTGCTGGCATAGCTGTTTTTGTGGCCACGGTGAGCCACTCTGGGGAACAGATCCTCCTGGAAAGAAGTGGTTTTTTCTAGATTATTTTTTCTCTGGTCCAGTACATGTTGTCTCCGTAAGATTTATGCTAGTTTCACAATGAGGAAGGTATGAGAGTGGGAATGTGTAGCAGACTGCTTAAGTTGGCACAGCTGCTAGATGTTTAAGTGTGCTCTTTGACATTACAGTTAAGTTGATCTTTCAGTGAGCTGCTGTTGCAAAGGCTGGTCAAACCTCTATGCAGCTGTGCAACCCTGCTTCTTCCTTTGCATCAGAGCTAGTGATTGTGCAGCCATAGGGCACGTCCAGCTAGCTGACTGACCCTGTAGAAAATGGTTTCTAATCTTTTGCAGAGTTAATCGTCTGCTGGTTCAGCTGACCTGAGTCACCCCGTGGGTGCACACTTGTTAGATCAGACAAAAGGGAAGCAGCAGGAACCAATAGCTCGATAGCAGAAGGCTGGATTCCTCTTTTAATTATGACATTGAGCTATATCATGACCAAGGCCTAAAATATACAAGTACCCATTGACACATGAGACCTGAACATCACATCTTTTTTCTCTCTTTTGTTCTTTGAACTTCAGTAGAAATTGTTATTTCTTCAGTAGCTATCATTTTTACTCTCACAAACTAGAAGGTTAATTCAACATGCTGAGAGGTATGATAGAATTATGTGTCTATAAACTGCTTCACCAGTTTAAGGCTCAATGTCCTCTGAAATTAGAAGGACGTCTTCCTCATTCACGCTTTGAGCTTAAATAAGATCTTCAGAAATTGGTGGGGAGTTCATTCTTTTTGAGCAAGGATTATTTATTATAAATATCATTGTGATTCTCAAAACTAGCTCTGGTATTATCAGTTCTTCTGTGTACCCAGCGTTCCATGAGCTTGAAAGCCACAAAGTTCCTCCAAATACATATTGAATCATGAAAAGTATTTCTTAAAAAACATCTGGAGTGCCAGACTACATTTCTTAGTCTGCCATTTGTGGTTTTAAGAAATGGATGTTTGATGATGATTTTTCAAGACCTCTTAAAGACTTTCTGTCACTGCTGGACTGAGTGAAACAAATGCTGGTGTCTTATGAAGGAAATACTTAGAGCTTGAGAAATATGGTTCTTGATGAGTGGTTGTTAAAATCACGTGCGAGGCTTTATTTGTCTATAGCAGAAATGATGCAGTTGATTGCTTTGCACTAGATGTGTTCTTTGCATCTTTTCCCCCTTAAGTCCTAACATCTCTATACAGCTGTTCATGCCTTTTGTCTGATAACATTTCTTGCCATTTTCTTGCTGGCCCAAGCATGTTTTTTGACTCTTGTACTGACAGATTTGCTGGAGGCGGTAGTGGAGAGACTTCTGGTGATGATTCAAAGATGTCCTCTCTTACTGTAATGTTGCTGGCACAATATACATACAGATTCAGATTCTTTAGCTTAGATAGAAAGTTGTGCTCATCCATGTTTTGCCAGCATCTTTGTTCACATGTGTTGCAATCTTTGCATTTTTAATAGGGCCTTCGTAGGGTAGTGGCTTGTGAGGCTTGTGATCATGGTAAGATGGACAGTTTACACCTTCAAATCACTGGTTCTAATCCAGAATGAATTTGGTTACTTTTTGACTGCTTTTGCCTTTCCCCCCTCCCCGATTACTGTGAAAGTGAAGGAAGTTGATGACTGGTTCATTTTGCAGAAGACAAATATGTGTAATATGTGTGTTAAAATAAAATTCCATAACCTAAGAAGGTCTCTCTTCAGTGGTCTACATAGTTTGATTTCTTAACTTAAGGTGGTTCCTCAAGAACAAGCTATTACATTGTCAGGGTACAGTCTTTGTGATGCTTGTGTTGTTGCTTACTGTATTGTATGCACTTTATGGACAGTGTCATCAGTTTAACTCTCAATTAACTGGAGAAGTGATTCTGTCAACAGGTGTGTGCCTGGGTTAAGCTGACTGACAGGAAACTAAATAATTTTTTTTTAATACAACTTGGAGGTCTTCCTGTTGGTGACTTTTCTTCGATATCTAAAGCTAAAAGGAATATTTCTCACTCTGATTGTTATAGCTTCTCAAGCTAATGTGATGCTTTGGCTTCCGTCTGCTGCAAACTTCATTTCTCCTGGGTTATTCTTTTGATTTGTGATGACCTGGGGGGTATAGTTGCCTTTGGGCATGTCATGGCATTCTCTTCCTCTCTTCTCACTCATTTCAAAGGTTTGTCCACTTAAAGCCACTTTGCCCCCGAGATTGCCTCTTTGGCTGGATGATCTCAGCTGGCATAATCATTTAACAGAAGGCTGCTCTTAAGTTTAAAATAAAAAAAAAAAACAACTGTCTTCTCAAAATAGCCCAGCTGCACACACATGCTGTTGCTGTTAGGTGCTGGAGGTTGCTTAGCAATTCTTAAATTGGTAGGAAATTGCTATTACCCTGGCAACTCAGCCCCAAAATGCAAACAAGGGAAAGCTGTTTATAGAGGTGTCCTTGCTGGATTTGGGAATTATGCTTTTTTTTTTTTTTTTTTTTTTGGTCTCTCTGATTTTTACTTACTTATTTTTAAATTCCTTTTGTTTCATATGTTTTACTCTGGTTATTGAGGTTTCACGTTAGGGAAGGTGGTACTGTTCTTTGGTTCATTTAAATACGGACTGTCAAGATCTTGATTATGCCATGAGTATGTGAATATTGCCAAAATCGAGAGTCTTATGCATGAAGACCTAGTGCATGTGTTCATGTCCAACATGAATGTTGGGTAGATTAAACTG